TCCGGAATAATGCAACGATAGATTTCCGGTTTCCTAACCTCTCACATTCTAGTTTACAAGCAAAACAAAGCTTCATAACGCTGCGTCGGGCCCCCTGCGCCTTGTCTTAAGAAATTTACGTATCTCTCATCACCCTGGACCCAAAAGTCCGCATTATCAGATGAAGTGGGTAGATATTTGGGGTGAATTTTTGGAAAATAATCAACTTATTTTTTGGTACTGATAATCAACATCGCTGGAACAACAAGCGGACTCCTGCTAAGCCCGTAAAAAAACACTTAAAATTGAGGCACTGGATGCGAAAAGGGCCCTTCTCGGTTGCAGTGTTTCAGAGTCTCCTCTAATATTTCATTCGTTGTAAGGAAAGTGAATGCATCCATTTCCATTAAAATTTTACTGCATTTTCCTTATGATTCTACAATATTCTATGGAAAGAATTCTAGAAAAATCCCCCATTAAAGTCTTCTCCAAGGGATTAATTAGTAACAGGGATTCTGAAACAGCGCAATCGAGAAGTGCCCTTTTTGCATCCAATGCATCAATTGTTAGGTACGTATAGAGCTTTATTCAACTCTCCAAACTTCCCGCCCCCTATACATCGCTAAGCAACGTGGCAGGAACCTAACTCCCCACTTCTCTCACTCCATACCACGAACCATATTGCCGTGCTACGGAAAAACGCCGTATGAACATTCATGAGTTGCCGAATTTCCTTCGATAAAATGTTTATTTTCGAGGAAAGTTATGAATATTTTTCCTTTAAATCAGGATCTTTAGATGAAACTGCGAACAAAATTATCTGAAAAATTGGGAGGAAAATTTTCATAAGTTTACTAGGAAATTCGCGTTTTATCACGGGAAATTTGGCAACGCCTGAAGATTCATACGGCGTTTTCCCTTAGTACCAGGGTCGGACTGGCTCGCATCTGAGGGCGAAGACCCTTGGCTGGTTAAGGAGGCGCAATGTGATATTTTCTGGTAGGGCATCTCCTGCGTGGAGAGGGGTTCAGAAAATTTTGGCAAAGCGGCACAAGTTTACGCTATTCTCAGGTTCAACGTTTATTAACGTACGGAGTAAAAAGTGCAAAATTGAACGTATTGAAGTAACCGACAGGCTTCTGAAATTATAGAAAACATGAAAAATTAAAGCCACTAGACGCATCCAAGCACCGTTTTTTCCAAAAAAGCGAGCCAGTGCTGCGGTTTACACGAGCTTAGGACGTGGGTCTGCCAATCCATCCTAAAAAGAGTCAGATAAGAACCTGAAAAAGAAAGAACGAGTATCAACACAGTCGAATACAGAAAAATCGTATTCGGGCCCCTTTTTTAACTTTTCTTCCGAATTTGATCGACAACTCATTAACAGCATGCAGCAGAGCATTGAGAGCTCACGCCTCGCGTCATCGCCCCTTCAATTTTTCAGATACAGCACGGACGTCCATCAAGTACGAATAGTTGTATCTCTGCGCCTTCGTAAACGCGTATCCTTTCCCTCGATTTATTTCCATGTTGTGTTTATTTGCGTTCGTCTTATTTGTTATGGTGCTTCAAGCACTACGAGAGTAACACAGCCGAAGGTAGGAGAGATGTGTTCGGGCCTCTTTTTTAACTTTTTAAATATGTTTAAAGGTCTCTCAAGAATTCCATTAAGGGTGCGTATGTCTAAAAATCAAACCGACTATCGCTTCTAGGGGAGTTACGATAGCGAATGGAGGAGGGGGATGATAAAGCGCCTGTATGTCAACAAAAAGGTGAAAAATTCACAGAAAAGTGTTTACGCTTCAGACAGTAGTTCTTGGACCTCTGTTCACCACATCGTGCATAAAAGCACCTTTCTTTACCCCTAACTCTCTTCTTCCGTTCACTTAAGGAATTTTCCGCACATATTTGCGGTAGTAATTTTTTTTCTCTTCTTATTTTGCTATCTGTCAGAGGGGCGCGTTTTCGGCGCACCAAGGGGGCGTATCTGCCAATGGCAGATTGGCCTTATGGACAGTCCGAGCCTGCTTAGTACGGCAGCATAATTGGATGTATTTCTATCAAACAGAACTATGTGTATTAAGACATGAGCCCCGAGACCCATAAGAATATGTGCGTAACAGGGCTCACGTCATAATGCACATAGTTCCGTTTGGTAGAGATACGTACAATTCAGGGATGATCTTACACAATTTTCTCGGTTTGCGACATTGAAAATTTGTTCTCATTCGAGCTCGTGCCAAGGGTGATGCATATATCTGGCACTTAATCTGAGTGCGTTTGAACCCTCTTCGGCATGAATTAAGTTTCCATCTTGGATTCTAAGGGACACAAATCTATCGACGTTGTAGGTCCGCAACCACGCATCTCGGTTTGTGACACTCCGTGTATCTTTGTGCGAAAAAAATCCCGCCAAAACTTTGATGAATGATGTCGATTTGTTCTCCTTTTAAAAAAATAAGAGGGAGCGGAGATTTTAATTCAAGCACCTCAAACGAGACGCGTGGTTGCGAACTTACACCGTCGCTGTGTTGTAATCTCCGTAAAAACACCGAGTCCCAAATGTCAAAATTTTTCAAAAGAAGAAACACCGACGAAACTTTGAAAAATCAAGCCATACAGGAAAAATCAATTTGGAAAAAAAAAGAAAAAAAAAACTAGAAATGCGTCGTTACGAGTAGATAACACCATCAGCGGGCCGATTATTGAAATTTAGTGTTTGTCGGGCGGACATAGATGACATGGGATAAATGGAGAGGCGTGATTGGTCGGCTATGTCTTATCGCTGCTTTGTCGTGCCTTTTTCAGGTGGAATGGACAACATGCTTTCGGAAACTTAAGAGGTACCGATAGCTTGTCGTGAGTTCAACCCGACATAGGCACGACAAAGCAGCGATAAGACATAGCCGACCAATCACGCCTCGCCATTTAACCCATGTCATCTACGGCCGCCTGACAAACACAAAATTTCAATAATCGGCCCGCAAGGAAGGTTAAAACGTCCATCGACTGCATTTCATCGAACGGGGATCTCGAATTTCCGACTCAGTGAAAGGGGAAACTGGGCCGGAACGCGCCCCCCCCCCCCCCCCCCCCCCCCNCACGCCCCTCTCGCGAAGATTTCGGCCTTGACTTCTGCCACAAGGTCAGCGACCTTTCCCGTTGGACAAGCCGGCAGCGTAGATAGGCAAAGGTCTGTTCTATAATCTAGGCCTTTGATGAAATACGATCTGGTCATGATACTATCATGCCGGCCGGCACCACCCGCGCCGCCGTGTGATGCGCGGCTCCGCGAAATTATGCCGCGTGCTCGTGATTTCCACACTCCCTCAGATCTTTCGAGGGTTTGAAATACTCGTTTCACTTCGAAAAGTTTCGAGTAATGCCGCGATGATTTATTCATTCGACTATTCTCAATTCCTTGGTCAAGAGTTGTATCCACACGAGTGGATTTATTACTTTTCGCCTTTCTTATTTCATGCTCGTCTCTTGAGAATCCTCGGCGTTGAGTGGATCCGGGGGAAATCAATCCAAATCTTCAACTTGCCACAAACTAAGTGTAATCTTAGCGGCTTCTGTTATTCCCCCGTTTTTTGGAGCTAAGACCATATTTTATAGCTCGGTCGCCAAATAAGTAAACGCATGAAACAGCATTGATAGGGAGGGGAGACAATGCTGTTCATGTACTTTCAGAGACTCAAATATCTACATTTAATCCTAGTCTGCCAAACATTGGTCATTTCTGACCCGGCGCTTCGTAAAAGAACGCCCATTTCACACCTGCTGCCCCTGGAAACTTTACCTTCACAAATATAGCTCTACAAAAACATTGAATAACATGAATTTTAAAGAAAAATCACTGAAAAAAAAAAAAATTCGAGTAGCTAGAGGTTTTTTTTCACGACTACCACGAGAATGACAATACCGGGTCAGTTTTGACCAGTCTCCCATTTCCTGCGGAATTTTCGGTTTTTTTTTTTTTTTTTTTTTTTTTTTTTTTTTTTTTTTTTTTTTTTTTTTT